GGATCTAACAAAGCTTTGAAAAGTCTTTTTAAAATTGGAAGAAAATTATTTGGATTCGAGCAGCTATAATTTTCGACCAAAGCTTAATAGATTTTTACTTGAAAATAATACCGACTTTGGAAAGACTTAGAAGTGGGCTAATTCAATAGTTGTAACTTAATAATCTTGGTCCAAAACATCAAGACAAGAAGATTCGGCCATATTAGACTTTAAGTCCGAAAATTTTGACCCGATAGCATAGATCAAATTTACAAGGCCCAAATGATATTCTTCAAGCCCAATGATAAAGAAGTCAACTCATTGATGTTAAATAAACCCATTTAGGGACTCATGGAACTTTTTGGCCTTACCCCTTGTGATTGGACTCGGTAGAATGGCTAATGGATCGGTCTCCTTAAGCCTAAACCCACGGTCGGATTTTGAATTACTAGAAAGCCTATGGTCAACCTCTTGATTAGCATTTGGATTCTCATCAAGATGATTTAGAATACTTGAACTTTCACTCACCCAAATATTGCTTTTGCGATCGATTTCGTTTGGCAAATTGTTAAACGACTTCTCCATTGTGTTAAAAGCACCCTTTCTTATGGCTTGCAATTAGTCCCTTCTTCATTTGATCGGCTTGTTATTTATAATGATGTAGATTGAACTCGGATGTTCGAATAATCGGCATTCTTACACTAGTCATTGTGTGTTTTTTGGACATAACCTTCTCACATAAGTCGCTAAGAAACAACCCACAATTGCTCACGGTAATGCTGAATCCGAGTATCTCGCACTCGTTGTTGTTGTTGTTGAAATTTGTTGGTTTCGGTACTTGCTTCATGATTTGCATATTCACGCTTCTCTATCGATTGAGATCTATTGCCATAATGTTTCAGCTACGCATTTTGTTGTTAATCCCATGAATCATTCTCGCACGACTTGGACTTTCTCGTGAGCATGTTTCTATATGCTCGCTTTGCTAAATTGATGGCCAATTCTAGCATTGTTCCCCGCTAAGATAAAAGGGCGTACATACGTAATAGTAGATATATTGTAGGATAGAAAAATTTTATAATACATAAGAAATAACTAGTGGCATGTATAGTAGTTATTCCTTGGATCCACTTTGAGGAGAGAGATAGACACATAAAAAAGTGAGAAATTACATCCATACTTACCAAAAGTGATAAAAAAATTTTCACATCCGCTCAAATTTTTTTATTTTCTCTCTCATGTTTCTCTCTCTTTTTTGTGTCTATCTCTCTCTTCAAAGTAGGCCTAGAAGTAACTATTGTACATGTTACTTAGTTACTTCTTATGTATTATAAAATTTCTCCTGTAGGATATATGGTTGTGATGTATTTTGTTTATTATAGGGATATTTTTTAAAATATATATACACATCTTAAAATAAATATGGTTGATAGATTAAGAAAGGTGAGGTTATTAATTATTATACCATACCAATAATTTTTTTATTCATATTTTTTAGAACTGTATGTGAATAATTTTTTGCAAAATAAATTTTAATTAAGGATATTTTTTTAGAAATATACCAGCACACAATTATTTTGACACAATATAATTAGGAAAAAGAAAGAAAGAAAGAAGACAATCTCTTTGAAATAAAGGGGTATTGTTTTGGCTATGTCCATTTTAATGGAGAAAAAACAAACCATCTTAAATTAACTATGAAAAAATTGAGAAAAAAAATTGTGCTACCTTACAACTGATAAGGAGTTGAATTGTGTGTGATATATATATATATATATATATATAATCAAGTACTAGCATCTGTAAGTAAAATATTAATTATCCAAAATTGCAGTGGCTGCTGATTTAAATTTAAATCCAAAACAAAAATAGAAGAGTTTGATAAACAAGTGATGGATTGGCCGAATGGGATTAGCAAAGGAGGTCATTGGAATTGGCATTTACTCCAAGTTGTATGAACTGGAGGTTCTAATTTTCAGACACACGAGGGCTTTTTTTTGGTGGCCCAGTTGGTCAATATAATTGGGCTGTGCCTGTTTACCGATAGACTTTTCGAGAAGATCAGCCATCCGATCTAACTTTTCCAAAACTTGGTCGTATTCCCAGCTGTAATCTGCATATATAATTCAAGACAAGAAACTCGTTTTTTTCTTTCCAATTGAAATGGTCAATTCATTTGTGGAATTAGCTTTCCGGTATCCAAGAGCATTTAGGGTGCTCCCATTGACCATACAATTCTCAGTTTTCTTTTCTTTTCTTTTCTTTTCTTTTCCTTTTTTCTGTTGAAATTGCTTATTTTATTTTATTCTATAGAAATTGTTTTTGTAAATGGGATTGTTGTATTTGCATAAAATTATTGTCAACCATTACTTTTACTGGTCGGTAGTCTCCCTTCCCCTTACCAATTGATTAGTCACCCTTGTTCATGGGTGCAACTTAATTGAACACGTGGATTTTTTATATGTTTTTTTTATTTAACGACAAAGGTTTTTTTAGATAAAATTGTGCGTAAATTGAAATTAATTTTTTTCAAATAATTTTAAAAATACGAAACCAACATCTACTTTATTCATTATTCTCTTAGACTATGATCTTAAAATTTAAACCCATAGAATCAAATAATAAAACAAATTTCTTTAACTATTAAATCAACCCATTAGATTTTCTTGTTTTAATCTTAGGAATATTAGATTGACATTATCTATATTAATTTATATATATAATTACAGTTTCACACAAATCATTCATGTCTATAATTTTTTTTTCTTTTTTGCAAACTTTCTTATAATTTACAAGCCAATAAGGGTTTGTTAACCGAATTCTTTTGTTGTGAGACTTGATGTAGTTGTTAACGAAAAATTTTATAATACATAAGAAGTAACTATTGGTATATACGGTAGTTATTTCTTGAGCCCACTTTGAAGAGAGAAAAAAAATAAGAGAGAGAAAATAAAAAAATTTGAGCGAGATATGAAATTTTTTTTATCACTTTTGATGGGTATAGATGTAATTTTTTTTATGTATTTATCTCTCTTCTCAAAGTGAATAAAAAAATAACTATTATATATACCACTAATTACTTTTTATGTATTATAAAATTTTTCGCCGTTGACAATAACATAAGGCATTTGATAGCATCGAAAAGGGCTGGTACTGCACCACGTAAGTCCTCCAATGTCAACTTAAAAACTTCTTTCAAGCAATCGCAAACCTGCTCTTTGTACAGAAATGTTAAATTAATTTAATTACATTACTTCCTCACTTTATCTTAATTTTGTAGTAAGTAATATTTTCAGCACATTAAATTAAAAAACAAGGCTTCCATGCATACAAAAGATTAAAAACTTTATTAAAATTTTACTCTGTATGACCGGACCCAAAGAAACGATAAAGATATAATAAAAAATGTAATGGGTTGATGCATTAAACTCCTTTACTTGGTTGCAAATATGTTAGTAACGGTAATGGATGATTTTTACAAATTTTTATTTTAATCCTTCAATTTATCAAGAAAATTAATTTAGCCCTTAAATTTTATTTTTTATTTACAGTTTTTTCTTATATGAAAGTTTTTTGGTCTTCATATATATATATATATATTACAGTTAGTCCTTATGACAAAAGTAGATTGTTTATAAATGGCAAGCCATATGTGAGAAAACTAGGCATACAATACATGCTGCACTCGTTTTGATCACAGAATTACTACTAAGAGAAAACAAAAGGAGAAAGAGTTACCTATTTGCAAAGTCAAACCAAAAGACCAACCAAGAAGTAGAGAGAAGCATAACTGAGACTAGGAAAGAAAGCGGGAGAGAGTCTTCGTCTCTGTCTGCTGTCTATGTATGGCAGACAATTAGAGAGAGATATTTATTTATTGCCTTTCCAAAGCCATTTTTTTGTTTCAGAATTTTACCATTTCTACTCACCAGTGACGACCAAAATACGAATACTTTGAAGTCGTCTTCTTCTTTGTTTATTTTACTTCCTTTTTTTCTTTTTTTCTTTTTTTTTTTTAAATATATATTCTACCTCTTTTTGTACTGTCTCTATTGTTTTCTTTTGGGTCTTTCGGGTCGATCCCATACTTCTCGTAAAATCTCTCTGCATTTTTTCGGACAAGCGACGGCAAAGAAGCTTTCTTTAGTTAACTTTCATGGGCATTTTCCGTCTAAGCAGGTCCTTCTCTCTCTCTCTCTGCTTCAAAGATAATTGTAGTTGGATTTTTAATCCAATTTAACGTTTCTTCATCTCCTGTTGGCTATGTTTATTTGAATTGCTTTCGGCTTTGAATTGAATGAAGAAAAGAATAGCGGAACCTTTCTTTGTCTCCTGTTGTCGAATTTTGATTGAAATTGTACGCATATTCATGCTCCAAGGCTATGCCTGAACTTCATAACTTTGTTGTATTTGATACTATTTTTACTGGAATATTTTTGTTTGTTTAACGAGATAATGTGGGAAAAGATAGTAATTATGATTTGAGTCTTAAGAATTTTTGGCCATAGAGGCTCAGCTGTGTGAATTTGAGCACTTTAAGTGGAGGCTTCAAGTGATTTGATAAGGAAAAAAGAAAAAACAACATTTCAGATGCTTTTTGAATAAAGAACTTGTCTAAGCAAAGCCCTAATAATGGATTTAAGAACTATATCTGGAGGCTTAAAAGAGATTGCAAATGATATAAAAACTATAATTTATTCTGTCTTCATCCAACCAAACAGATTATAGTCATATGGTTTTAATTTTCGTCTGCATTTATTTTCTTTTGTATGCTTAGCAACCAAGGGGAGACTATGATTTTAATTCCTCTGAATATTTGAATTCTTTGTGTTCATTGGTAATGTGGGCTCCAAAAATTTAAGCAAGAAGTTCTCACTGATCTGTGCCTCATCTGAAATTGGATGCAGGCATTTTATGAAACTTGATTTGGATTGAAATGTCTGGACGGTTGCCTTGCAATCATGTTTTTGACCACATGGGGATACAGGATTTTTGATTCTTAGTTTTTTTAGGAGTGATACATGATGGCATTAGATGTTATTACTAGTGCGTCTTCTGTTCCAGCTACTGAGTGCTTTTCGCAAATTGTGGAGAGCATGATGGAGGTTGTATATGCTGCCAACAATGTTCTCATTAAGAAGGAGAGCTTTAAGGAACTTTCTGTCTACTTGGAAAGGGTTGCACCTGTCCTAAAAGAGCTGAATAAGAAAGACATTAGTCGTTATGGGAGCATAAACAATGCCATTGAGATCCTCAATCAGGCAATCAAAGCTGCAAAGCAGCTGACTGCTGACTGCACCAAGAGAAACAAAGTGTATCTTCTAATGAATTGTCGGACGATAATTAAAAGCCTAGAGGACATCACAAGAGAAATAAGCCGGGCCCTAGGTCTTCTTCCTTTGGCCTCTTTGGATCTTTCGACCAGTATAATTGAAGAGATTGAAAAGCTTCGTGATAGTATGCAGAGAGCTGAGTTCAAGGCTGCTATAGCAGAAGAAGAGATTTTGGCAAGAATTGAGTCTGGAATACAGGAGAGGAATGTTGATCGTTCTTATGCCAATAAGTTACTCGCTCACATAGCTGAGGCTGTTGGGATCTCAACTGAGAGGTCTGCATTGAAGAAGGAGTTTGAAGAATTTAAGAGTGAGATTGAAAATGTGCAGCTTAGGAAGGACCAGGCTGAAGCCATACAAATGGATCAGATAATTGCTTTGCTAGAAAGGGCAGATGCTGCTTCATCTCCTAAGGAGAAAGAGAGAAAGTATTTCACCAAAAGGAAGTCTTTGGGTAGTCAGCCATTGGAACCTCTCCAGTCCTTTTATTGCCCAATTACTCGGGATGTTATGGTGGACCCTGTGGAGACCTCTTCAGGACAGACATTTGAGAGAAGTGCAATAGAAAAATGGCTTGAAGATGGGCATGAAATGTGTCCTCTGACCATGACCCCTCTAGACACATCAATTTTGAGGCCGAACAAAACTCTTAGGCAATCAATAGAAGAATGGAAGGACAGAAACACCATGATTACGATTGCTTCGATGAAATCAAAACTTGTGTCTGAAGAAGAAGAAGACGTGCTTCATTGCCTGGAGCAGTTAGAGGATCTCTGTGAACAAAGAGAACAGCATCGGGAATGGGTGATATTGGAGAATTATATACCATTATTTATCCAGCTTCTTGGAGAAAAAAATCGTGATATAAGGAATCGTGCTCTTGTTATCCTTTGCATTCTGGCAAAAGACAGTGATCATGCCAAGGTACTTAAAAATTTATTTAATCTATTCTGGTATGTTCTATCTTGTAGTTAGAATCATATTATTTGCAACTCAATTTTACAGTGCATGCAACTTAAAATAACTAAACATCTATATGAAACTAGCTGGGGTTGGCTACATGGATCCACCTCCTCAAATCCATTTTTTAGAGGCTAAACTGTCACTAGATTTTCTTCATCACTTGAGCTCATGTTAATTTTGGTCCACCTTCTCCACCTCCTCTCTTCTAACAAATATAAATTATGCGCACAAATCCTGAAAATATGTGGCTAACGGATACAAACAGATGTGGACACAGAAAACGGGTGCACATGCACAATATTCATATACATAAATAGGAAAATACAATGCAGGCATATGAGCCATTTTCTTAATTTAAATTTCAGATCAATTATACATCCTGTAAATCTATATATATGTTGATTTGTGATAGCTGATTTGTTCTTTCTCTTGAATTTAGCTAATTGATTTATTCTTGATAAATTTCAATGCTTGATTGATACCAAAAAAGAAGAAGTTACTTTTCGATTTATATTGAAATCATGCTCATAAAATTATTCATGGTATTGACTGACCTAATTATATTTGACATATTAACTCTGTAGATAAAGTAAAATCAAGAAGGTGCTTGTTAATAGCAATTCTTTACTAAAATCTGAAACATGCTGCAGGAAAGAGTTGCAGATGTTCATGATGCAATCGAATTCATTGTTCGATCTCTTGGACGGCGTATTGGGGAAAGGAAGTTAGCAGTGGCATTACTGTTAGAGTTGTCAAAGTGTAACTTGGTAAGGGATGGCATTGGAAAGGCGCAGGGTTGTATTCTCCTCTTAGTGACTATGGCAAGCAGTGATGACAGTCAAGCTGCCACAGATGCCCAAGAGCTATTGGAGAATCTTTCCTTCTCTGATCAGAACATCATACAAATGGCTAAGGCAAATTACTTCAAACATTTGCTGCAGCGTCTATCCACAGGTGGTTTTCATGCATTTGACAACCTATTTTAAGCTTCTTAATGCAATTTTGATTCAGACTGTCATCAGTTTTGCCCTGTCACATTTTTTTTCTTTTTGTATTTTTGATGGTGCAAAATCTTTCTGAAATAGTTGCTGCCCTTGGTAAAATGAGCAGAAATCTTTGTCACAATATGGAGTCAAACTGTGCCTGGCATGGAACCCTAAAATCATTGTGTGTTTTATGTATCAAATTGTACAATTCCAGATGTCCTAATATCATGTGGCATGCTATATTTAACAGCATACTGGATGTCTGTTCACCAACTTGCTATATATCTCTAAGTTGTCTTGTTGTGAGTTCAACAATGTAACCTGGAGTTTAAATTGTTTCTGCCTGTGATTGCTAACTGTAGTATTTATATTATAATAATTTATGTCCTAGCCTTGCAATGATTGAAGAGAGACATATTCATACTTCAGAAGTGCTTGTTGATCTGTTTATGCAGGACCAGAACAAGTGAAAATGATGATGGCATCAACTTTGGCAGAATTGGAGTTGACTGACCACAATAAAGCATCTTTGTTTGAAGGAGGTGCTCTGGGTCCACTTCTTCGCTTGGTATCATGTGGTGACATTCAGATGAAAGAAGTGGCTGTCAAAGCTCTTCAGAACCTATCAAGCTTACCTGCAAATGGCCTGCAGATGATTAAAGAAGGTGCATTGCAACCATTACTTGGCCTTCTCTTTCAGCACGTCTCTTCATCCTCAAATTTACGTGAGCATGCAGCTACCACAATTATGCACCTCGCTCTATCAACGGTGTCTCAAGAATCCAGCCCTACACCAGTTTCATTGTTGAAATCTGACGATGATACTTTCAGGCTCTTTTCTTTAATTAGCTTGACGGGGCCTGATGTGCAACAAAACGTTCTTCGAATTTTCCATGCCTTGTGCCAGTCCCCATCGGCATCAAATATCAAGACCAAGCTGACAGAGGTACACAAGACGTTGTGTCTGTGTGTGTGTTCAATTATAGGAAGAAATTACCATCTATTCAAGGGAAAGAAAAGTAGATGGTGGCTATTGTGCACACTAGTATTTACACTTTTTGGTAATACCGTAATAGTTTTTGCACAAGCCACCATATTACATGAAATACAATGTTCTAAAATCTAGAACCAAAAAGGTTGAGATAAAACTAGAGATATTTTCTCCTACAAAGAAAACAAGAAAAGTTGGTGCATAAATGTGATTAGATCTGTAGATGCATTGATATGGCCAGATATTGGCCAGACTAACAAATTTGGCTATATGGTGCCGGTGTTCAGAATGCCATCAAGATTCCAATCTTTTAATAATGTTCTTAAAAGATGAAAGGGATCTAGAAAGTCGCTTTAGTTGTAGAGAACAAAGTACCAGATCAGATAAAAAATGAGATCATTATTTACTGTTTAATAAACCTGTATCAGACCAGGAAAATTGCCTGTTGCAATCATCTGACAAGTTATTTCTCATCCCTAAGGGCTAATTTGTTGTGGAAATGTGGAATGCTGAGTTTCTTATCGTTCTCGGTTTTGTTGATTTTGAGATGTTTACTATTTATTTATTTTTTGTGGTTGTCTTATCCAACCTCTCTCTTCCTCCATATTAAGTTTCCTCTGCAGTATTTTATCCATGTAGGGTTTCATCATATTTTCACTAACTGGTTTTGATAACAGTGTTCAGCTATGCAAGTATTGGTCCAGTTATGTGAACGCGATGACAACCCCAATGTAAGAGTGAATGCTGTGAAGATGTTATATTGCTTGGTAGAAGATGGTGACGAAGGCACCATTTTAGAGCATGTGGGTCAGAAATGCCTTGAGACCTTGCTCCGGATTATCCAATCTTCTAATGTTGAAGAAGAGATTACTTCTGCAATGGGCATTATCTCAAACCTCCCAGAAAAGCCCCAGATCACCCAGTGGCTTCTGGATGCTGGGGCACTTACTGTAATCTCTAGATTTCTCCCTGATAGCAAGCAGAATGATCCCCATAAAAATCACTTGGTTGAAAATGCCGCTGGAGCCATGTGTCGTTTTACTGTTCCGACAAATCCAGAATGGCAAAAGAGAGCTGCAGAAGCTGGAATAATTCCTGTGCTAGTGCAGCTGCTGGACTTCGGAACTACCATTACAAAGAAGTGTGCTGCGATTTCTCTCGCTCGCTTTTCTGAGAGCTCGCTAAAGCTCAGTCGGCCAATACCTAAGCACAGGGGATTCTGGTGCTTTTCTGTTCCACCAGAAACTGGCTGCCCGATTCATGGGGGAATCTGTGCTGTTGAATCGTCATTTTGCCTTGTGGAAGCTGATGCATTAGGACCCCTTGTGAGGGTTCTTCAAGATCCAGATCCTGGAACCTGTGAGGCTTCTTTAGACGCCCTATTAACTCTAATTGAAGGTGTTACACTTCAAAATGGTAGTAAGGTTCTTGCAGATGCAAATGCCATTCAACCAATTGTTGGATTTCTTGGTTCTTCCTCCCCCGGACTGCAGGAAAAGGCCCTGAACACTTTAGAAAGGATCTTCCGGCTGCCCGAGTTAAAACAGAAGTATGGGCCCACTGCTCAGATGCCTTTGGTTGACCTGACACAGCGGGGTAACAGCAGCATGAAGTCTCTTTCAGCCAGAATACTTGCTCATTTGAATGTACTTCATGATCAGTCCTCTTACTTCTAAAGAATATTCAATATTTATTCCCTTGAAATCTTACAGAGCTACTCCACGTCTGACAAGTAAGGATTAGGAATGCATCTCATCTTGATTCATTAACAGTGTCATGGCGATCGAACAGTTGCAAGAAGCCTCTGCATGGGTAGGTGTAAGACTTCACATTTGCGATGCTGGATGGGGTGGCTGTAGAGGGGCATCTTGTCACTTCTAGTTGATCCCAGACGAGCTGTCTGGTGCTGGATTCACAAAGTTTTCTATCATTTTTTTTTTTGTATAGAGAAAATATTGATAGAGAGATGGGATTTCACATAATTTGTTCAGTCTGTACAGTTGAACAATTAGCTATTGATTTGTCTGCAGAAGGACAAGAAAAATCAAGATTAAGTGACCATCGTTAGATTGGTTCTGTACTCGGATCTTTTATCATCATCATCATCATCATCATTATTATTATTTATTTGTTAGAATTGAATTCTTTGCTGGCATTTGCGACATAGCTTCTGATATTCTTGTGTGTCAGGACAAGTGTAGCAACAAAATCAAGTCTTGAGTTATCCAGCTTCTGCTGGGAAGTTCTGTGCTGTGCCTGTGCATGTTGATTAATGCAGCTGTCTGTTTATTATCTGCCATGTTTACCTGCAGGAAGAGTCCTGTCTTTTTTTAGGCTTTGACAGTTAGGAACTTAGGATGTCCTTGGCCAGCTTTTACATATCAAGACCAAATCGTCTCCATATAGGTTTTTAATCTAGTCATTCATATATGGATTTGTAAATTCATAAGAAATTTCTTTTTCATCACCTTTTTCAGGATTTTGACATCTAGATGATGATGAATATAGGAATTAAACTCATCTATAGTTCGAGGCTATAAGCCTCGCCTCGAGGGCATTTGATTGCCTTCACCTAATTGAAAAACAAACCGCAATATGATGGATTCTATGCTTACTAACTATATTACGTTTATACCATACCAAATAAGTAATGGATGGCATCACCAATTCCCAAATTGTATGCTAAATTGCCAACACTCATTCCCCGCTCTCTTCGAAAATTTTATATGATCCAACCAAGGCCTGTGTTCCTCGAACTGTAAACGGCCTTAAAAACAATAAAATCCCACAATTTAGCCTCATAACCCCAATCTCTAGCGTCATTTAAAACTTATAGCCCCAATCTCTCTATATTCACCACTACATAGCATCCCCTGAGGAATGCTGTTCATATTAGAACCATAGAGAACCATATTTTGGCATGAGAAAATTGAAGCAAATTCATGCTCAAACCCTTAAAAAGGCTTAGAACACGCTAAAACTCTCATAGTAGAACTCCTCGAAATCCCAGACATCCCTTATGCCCACAAGCTGTTCAATCAAAATCCTCATCCAACTGTCTTTCTCTATAACAAACTCATCAAAGCCTACTTATCTCACAACCAACCTCACCAGTGCCTCTCCCTCTACTCCCAAATGCTCCTCAAAGGCTGCCCACCAAACGAACTCACTTTCAACTTCCTCTTCCCTTCTTGCGCTTCCTTCCATTCCCTTCTCCATGGCAAAGTAATCCACACCCATTTTATAAAATCAGGTTTTGACTTTGATGTCTTTGCCCTGACTGCTTTGGTTGGAATGTATGCAAAATTGGGTGTTCTCACGCTGGCACTGCAAGTGTTTGATGAAATGACTGTCAGGGGTATACCCGCTTGGAATTCGTTAATCGCCGGTTATTCAAGGAGTGGGGATATGGAGGGAGCATCGAAATTGTTTAAATTGATGCCTAGTAGGAGTGTGATCTCATGGACCACAATGATATCTGGGTATTCGCAAAATGGAATGTACACGAAAGCGTTGGAGATTTTTTTGAAGATGGAGAAGGAGAAAGATGTTAGGCCAAATGAAGTGACTATTGCTAGTGTGCTTCCAGCTTGTGCAAATCTTGGTGCATTGGAAGTTGGGGAGAGGATTCAAAGTTACGCAAGAGACAATGGGCTAATGAAGAATTTGTATGTAAGCAATAGTTTGTTGGAAATGTATGCTAGGTGCGGTAAAATCGATGTGGCAAGGCATGTGTTTGATGAGATTGGCAAGAGGAGGAATTTGTGTTCTTGGAATTCTATGATCATGGGCTTGGCTGTGCATGGAAGGAGCAATGAGGCTTTGCAGCTTTATGATCAAATGCTGGTAACCATTGTTCTCACTATTGGAAGTTTATCATAAACACAACTTTGTGTTCTCATTGACTTGTTCCTACGATGTTGATGTCATTACAGGGAGAAGGAACTGCACCTGATGATATCACATTTGTAGGGCTTATCCTGGCATGCACGCATGGTGGCTTCGTCACTAAAGGCTGGCAACTTTTTCAATCAATGAAGACAAACTTCCGTATTGTTCCCAAATTGGAGCATTATGGCTGCGTGGTTGATCTCCTAGGGCGTGCTGGTAAACTGCGAGAAGCTTATGATCTCATTAAAAGTATGCCAATGGAACCAGATTCTGTAATATGGGGAGCACTACTCGGTGCTTGCAGTTTTCATAATAATGTTGAGTTTGCTGAAATAGCAGCTGAGTCTCTGTTTAAACTTGAGCCTTGGAATCCGGGAAATTATGTAATTCTTTGCAATATATATGCATCAGCACGGCAGTGGGATGGGGTTGTGAAGCTTAGAAAGCTTATGAAGGGTGGCCAGATCACGAAGGCAGCAGGATATAGTGTTATTGAAGGAGAAGGTGGCATCCATAAGTTCTTTGCGGAGGATAAGTCACATCCAAGACATTATGATATATTTGCGTTGTTGAACGAAATTTCGACAAAGATGAAGTTACAAATAACTGAGGATGATTTTGAATCTGAACTTGAAGAGTTGTGCTTAATGGAAGAGATGTGATGTGTTTGTTGCTACTCCCTCTTGCAAGTGAAACATGAATCGCTGGTTCCTATTTGCTGCTTATGATTTACATCTGTTTGGCCTGTGTTCATATGTTAGCGACTCCCACCGCAGCTTCATATTCTGCACGTCCCCATTGCACCAACTCCATTAATATGAATCTGCGAACATCCTCACATATACAACAGTCTTTGGAAGTGTACACTACCAACTAAGAAAACCATACAATACAAATTTAAGCAAAAAGGAAAAGGAATATCCAACCCAAAAGAAAAACCATACTGTATAATCCTATCATTAAAAAAAAAAAAAAAAAAAAAAAACATACAATTATACCATTCTGAATGTTATTTAATAAAAAAAACGCACAAAAGTTTTAGAATTTTCCTTTTAGAATTTGTGTTTTTTTTTTTTAATCATCTAACAAATAGATATGATATACAAATTATATAATATTTATAAATGACGATAAAAGTCAAATTAAGATCTCTATCCAATACCTCTATTTGCAATCAATGCTCCGAAATGCATGCCCATCGAAACATTTCAAAAAAAAAAAACAATTAGTTTATTGTGTTAAATGCTTTGTGACCAACATTTTTTTGTGCAATAAATACTGATTGCATGCCTTTTTATAAACTAATGGATTTGTATCCTATACAAGTCAATCTTCTTTAAAATTTCAAAATTCTATAATAATTTGGATAAAAATTGAGAATTTCTATTACTAAGATTAAAAATTAGTATTTATTCCCGTGCTTTTCTTTTTGTTTGTGACTCTTTGCACTGTTTTAGTTTATTGTGCTAAATGCTTTGTGATCATTATTTTTGTTTACAATTATTTATCCTATCCAAGTCAATGACAAGTACAAATCTTCTGTAAAATTTCAAAATTCGATAATAATTTGGATAGCCATCGAGAATTTCTATTACTAAGATTAAAATTTGGTACCTATCACCGTACTTTTCTTTTTGTTTGTGGCTCTTTTGTATTAAACTAATCCCAAAAGACAATCAAAATTTAAGTATCAAAAATCATTTTTCAACAGAGATCATACTCATAAATTTGAGTTTTTGTTTTTTGATATGGAATCTCCAATCCTTAAAATGCTATAACACCTCATAGTTTAGGTAATAAACTCAAAAGAATATATATATATATCAATCAAAATTATCTTGACACCTAATTGTCTTACATGATAACCGAGAAACGACAACTATCTCGTGAAATAAGGTAAAAAAATAAATTTGGATTGGAAAAAAAAACAAAATAACCCATTTATCTAACCATTTATTAGATTTTTATTTAAGCATCCGAGATTCAATTTTATCTATTTGAAGATGAGACTAAATCGGATTGATAGATGAGGTTCAGAATTGCCATCTCTATATCCGTTTATAATTTAATTCTTCTGTTAATTGTACATTATTATAGTATTTATCGTGCTTCAAAAGTAAAGATTTATCTGAAATGTAAACTAATTGGGTGTGCCCAGTAGGCAAGGCAAGAGATCCTGCATTAGTGAAAAATCAGGTGCAATTTGTTTCCATTAATTAATTTTGATGATTTTGTGCTATTAATTGAACGTGAATAACAGAACTAAGAGATAAAAAATGTAGATTCATGCAATCAAGTGAGATAAGAGAGCCATTTATAAAAGAGGGAGAGGGAAGGGTGCTATTGACGATGAAAAGGATGGTTTCCGGATTTGAGTTTAAAAGGTTAGTTTTGGTATTTTATTTTGAAAAACAAGTAGATCTATGAAGAAAAAAAATAATTTGTCAAAGTGAGTCCAAGGACCAATTTACAACTTTCAAAACTATAGGGATCAACTTATAAAAACACTACAAACAAAAAGAACTAATTTTAATTTACCATATATATTTTTCTCACTCCCTGGGTTGGTCATGATATATGTATACATATACACACACACCAGTTAACAGCATAGAATAGAGGAAGTTAGATTTAGAGAAAAATGGAGATTGAGGGAGCTGTTGAGGTTCAAGAACCTACTAATGACGCGGACCTAACAATGGCAGATTTCTTGTTTGCGCAAGCGCAACAATTACTGTCTATTGTTTGCTATTGCTTCCAATCAAGTTGCGACCAATTGAAGAACACAACAACAAACAACAACAACAACAACAACAAAAATATTTAAACGGTTGAAGGGAAAAGCAGCTTCTCCTTCTCAAACAGTAAGTGTATTGAGAATTCCAATCCTGAAGACTATTTCCAAAGTTAATTGATATACATCTTGCAGCTACGATCTGCTTAGTATTGCATTGCCCTGATCGCAGGGTGCTAAAACAAGCAATGTAATAAAACTTATAAATCACTGTCCCTGTTAGCTATGAGTTATGAAGAACGAAAGTGATTATGACGCCCTTCCTTTAAATTGGAAGAAAGATTCATAATTTTACAGGAAAAAAAAAGTATAAAAGAATTTAAAATGAACAGAATCCCGCCCAATAGCAATACTTCTTGTGTGTCAAGGACACCTGCTGGTTGGTTTCAAGCCCCTCGAAAACTGATCTCAAGCTCACGCTATCTTCTCTTTCTCAGCTCTGTATCTTCCACTCCTTCCAACAATTTTGAGAGCCTCGTCAATTAGAATCACAGGTGCTGAAACCAAGATTACTAGAAACCATTCGTTCAGACTCAATGGAATGATACCAAACACATCAGCCAGGAATGGAACATATAGTATAACGCAGTGCAATCCGAATGAGACTGACATGGCCACTAAAAGCCAAGGGTTCCTCCAAGGTGGCATCGTAACCAAGCTATTGTCTTCAGAAAGCGCATTCAGGGAATTAAACATTTCAATCGCCACCAACACCGAAAGTGAAAGAGTCATTGCCTTCACTTTACCGCTAGAGAAATAGTCACAGGGGCTTGAAAAAGTGATCATGCGTCCCCCACCGACCTGATACGGAGACACAGTGAAATTTGACCATGTGGGGCACTCCCCCCAATTGCGAAGCTGAGAGAGTTGAACCAGTGTGTGCCCATCGCTCACAAGATCGATACCCAGAAAGGAAGCCTGGGTGTACCACAAGACGAAGATTCCAACAGTTGCAATTCCTACATAAGAACCAATTACCTGATTGCAAAAATGTTGGAATGGTGTTATTCAATGACGACAAACACGAGACTTTCTTCAATAAGTGGAGTAAATGAAGAAATAGGTACTGTTTTCTCAAACAAAGATGAACATAAAAGACAACGAGTATCAAAATATTTTCATAAGATAAAAAATGAGCTAGAGTACTGAAGACGAGTTACCAGGTAGCGGAAGAGAACCCAGGAATTTATAAGGGCATCATTGCTTTTGCGGGGTGGTTTCCGCATTATATCAACATCAGCAGGGTTAAAACCAAGAGCTGTTGCAGGTGGGCCATCGGTAACCAAATTCACCCATAAAAGTTGCACTGGTATCAAACAATCTGGTATACCCAATGCAGCAGTTAAGAATATGGATATCACTTCTCCAACATTAGATGATATCATGTACCTGCAGATTGAAGAATGAATACAGCTTCCACAAAACAGCACTCAGAAGGAAAAGATAACCAAAAAAGAGATGTACCTGATAAAAGCTTTCATGTTGTTATAAATTGAGCGACCCTCTGCAACTGCTGAGACAATGGAACTAAAGTTATCATCTGCCAAAACCATATCAGAAGCTTCCTTTGCCACCTGCAATGGTAAAAATGGCAGGATTCCCTGTCAGTCCTAAAAATCTTTCCCAAAAGAGCTCAAAAAATAAAATGAAATTTAAATTGTCAACTGTAATTAAAAAGTACAGGTTGTTTAATTAATGGAAATTGAACAACAGCGGAACACTGATGTTACATCATGCATTGGCCAGAGTGGGGTGGGGGTTAGGAGCGCAACGAGTGAGAACTGCATCACCATATCCCCTAATAAAAGATTGACCAGCTTACCTCTGTTCCTGTTATTCCCATCGCAATTCCAATGTCTGCAAGTTTAAGTGCAGGTGCATCATTGACACCATCTCCAGTCATTGCCACAATCTCGCCCATATCCTTCAGCATCCTTACAATTTCTTGCTTGTGTCTTGGCTCGGCACGGGAGAAGACCTTCCCTCCAGGTTTAGACAAAATTTCCATTTGTTCTGAAGGACTAAGAGCAGTATACTCTTTGCCAGTAAAACTTCTTCCTCTGAGATCTTCACCTTCATGAAATAACTTGATTTCCTTACAGATAGCCTCAGCTGTGGACTTATTATCTCCAGTTATAACCATAACCCTAATCCCAGCACCTCTACAATCCTCAATTGCTTTGTGCACTTCCTCACGTGGGGGGTCCTGTTCAATATTGAAATTATTTTTACCTTACTGGTCTGACTATAATGGATGTGAAACATAACCAGTGCAACATATACTCACCCGTAGACCAACAACTCCGACAAAAACTAAATCACTTTCAATGGACATGTAGTAAACTGGATCGAGCAACTTCTTGTGGGCAGGATGATTTTCAGCGTAGTAGTCTGAAAATTCCCCCAGGTCATCCTTATATGCCAGTCCCAAACACCGCAGCCCCTTGGAACTCATCTCCAAGAGTCTCAGAGACAACAGTTGCCTACAAGGTTCATCTATTGGAACAACAGATCCATCTGCAAGTTGCACATGTGAACTGCGCTCCAGTAAACTCTCGACCGCTCCCTGCAGATCCAAAAATTAGTTTCATCCAAGTACCAGTAGATGAAAATCAATAATAGAAGCAAGCTATTGACCAAAGATACATTGAGAGGAAAGACACTGATCAAAACTTGTTTTGTAAATTGGCACTGCCAAATTCTGCAAATCTTTCCAATTAATGACCTATGATGCAATTCTGCTGCTGCTTCTTCTTCGTCTTCTTTATTTATTTATTTTTTTTTAGACAGAAGCATTTCACCATTAGTAAAACAAGAGTTTTCATGTTTAAAATCAAGCACTAAAATAATATAATGGAAACAATATAGCTGAAGAATTACTACAAGATTAGTCAATTGAAACTTCAACTTGACTGAGTAATTACTCAACCATGCATCAGTTAGCCAGGAATTAATCCAATTTAGATAGATAAAGAATAGGGATGCCTCGCACACTCCACTAGTTTTAACCATGAAACACAACCAAGCATTGCAACCTTAGTTTCTAGTTTTGTTCAAGATTTGTATTTTTCATGCAGGCAAGTAATTCATTAACGGTATATAGATTACCAAATCATTATCTCAAGTCCAATTAGTCAGGCTTAACCAACCAGGAAAATCCTGTTTTTAGTAAACTAGCACATGTTACAAGTGAATTGAGTTTTCCAATAATACAGAAGAAAAGAAAAGCATTAAAATAAGCACTTGACTTTCCTATCAATATTTAGTAAACAAGGAGGAGATAACAAGTTAATCACTAACTCTGTTCTAGTGATTTTAGATTGATCAAAGCCAGTTAGAAGACTAACAATAATAATCACCTTGACAAGAAGTCGATTTTGTCCATTGGGCTCTCGAACAATAACACTCATTGACTTACGAATGCGATCAAATTCCAATGTGGCAAGCCTTTTCAATCTTTTCGTCCACCACTCACAACTCCCTATACTAACCAAGTGTTAATAGGACAGAAAGCTGCGTAAGAGTTGCATAACTCACATCATCTAAATATTTTCAGATTTCTGCTTACCTAATGTCAACGTGCTGCGATCAATCAAATAGTTTGCAGCAAGCTGCATGCCCCGAATTTTGTCCCTTCCCTTAGCATCTGGGACACCCATCTTCTCAACCAAAACCTTAAGAGCAGCCTCAGTAGGCAAACCTGTAGCCCTGAAAAGACGGCCATCACAAAAGATCCCAGCATCATTACAAACAGCACATATCTCTGCCATGGCTTGCAAATTAGCATCCATATTGTAGCAACTCCAGTCAACAATTCCACCATCCTTAGGATCATAAGTTGTTCCTTCAACATGAAAACATCGAGAAGAAGTAGTTTTTCCACCCAAAGTGAAGAACTCTGTCACGGACATCTGGTTTGTAGTCAAAGTCCCAGTTTTATCTGAACAAATCACAGTTGTGCATCCTAAAGTTTCCACACTTGGAAGCTTTCTCACAATTGCATTCTTTTGTGCCATTTTCCTGGTACCCAGAGCCAAACAAGTTGTGATTACAGCAGGAAGGCCTTCTGGAATTGCTGCTACAGCTAAGGCAACAGCTATCTTGAAATAATAGGTACATTTCTCAAAAGAAAATCTGATATTTGCAGGCCACCCATCTACAACATCCCACGAGAGGAAATTTTTGTAATTAATGACCCATACAATGAGACAAACAAGCCCAATCGCAGTTGTAAGCCTGCTGCCAAATTCATCCAACTTCTTCTTCAATGGAGTATCGCTCTCTTCCAGAGAAGCCTCGTGTATTTGCTTCTGAATTTTTCCAATCTCGGTTTTCATCCCAGTACTTATAACAACACAAATACAGCTCCCATTCACAACAGTTGTGCCGGCAAAAACCATATTTTCCTTAGCCTGCAACTCGCAGTCGTCCATAAATATGGAAGCAGTGCCTTTCAGAACAGGCATTGCCTCTCCAGTCAATGAGCTCTGCTCAACTCTCAAAGTGGATGTCTTCAAAACTGCCACTCTCATGTCAGCCGGCACTCTATCCCCAACCCGCAGTTCCACTATGTCTCCAGGGACAAGCTCCCTAGCTGGCAAGTCCGGTATCTTGTACCCATCCCTTAAAACCTTTGCCGATTCACATTGCATCTCCTTAAGGGCCTCAAGAGCCTTTTCAGCATTAGTCTCTTGCCACACCCCAACGATAGCATTGAGGACTAAAATCAAAACTATAACAAGTGGCTCCACATAATCTTCGAATCCAGCCTCCCCAGACTCACCTCCATGTAAATATGCTAGAATAAACGATATAAAAGCTGCAACCAGAAGTATCTTTACAAGCATATCATCAAATTGTTCTAATACCAACCGCCATAAGGGCTTTCCCTTCTCTTTAGCAAGCTCGTTCCAGCCATACCTCTCTCGCAGCTTCTCAACCTCATAAGAGCTCAGACCCTTGTCTAACTTGACATTGTACTCTTTCAAGCACTGCTCCACGGACCATGACCATGCAGGGAATGGTTTTTCCTCCATTGAATTCAATTTCAGCTCCAAAACTTAATTTACTCCAAACCAAAATCTTAATCTAACTTCCCTCAATCATATCAAAATCCTACAACACAGTGGATTACACGGTCAAAATTAGAAGGAAAAAAAATTGAATGAATTTTATTATTGCTACCTTCACAAAAAAAAAATGTTGCCAGAAGCACAAATAAAGCATAAAGCAGAGGTATAACAAACCAGAATTACTTTGGATACTCTTTTTTTTCCCCTCTAATCACAGAAAACTCATGCCAGAGAACGAGTAGAAGAACAATTAATAAGCATGATGTTTCTAATTATGCAATAGGAGGTTTAAATTTTCGGCACACCAAACCCACCCACCCAAACTAAAAAAACCCTCTAATAACTGACCTTATCATACACCCACCAAAAAAAAAAAAAGAGTAGTTAACTAGTTTCAGCGCGCCCCCAACGAACCAAAATAAACAGAAATACTCAGAAAAATAAATTAGCCAGCAAAGAAAATAAAGCAAGCAAAGCCAAATACTGACAACTTATAACAAAAGGGAAAGCATCATGTGTGGACTGTAAATCTTACCATGCTGACAACCAAAGAAAACAAACTCTTCCATACTTATACTGTAAGTAAAAATTGAGCAATGTTGAAGAAATAAAAAGAAGCAGAATTGGAACCTTTGAATAACAAGTTAAAGACAAGAAAGTTGGCTTGGAGATAAAGCAAAGGCTAAGGCCACAAAGAAAAATTCCTTGTTCTCTGAGGAAATATCAAATAAAGAAAGGAACAAAAGAAGAGTCAGGCAGCCCACAATTGTGATTAATACTCTTCTCCTTAATTCAATCTTGAATTTTACAAGGACTATGGCTCTCTCTGCTTTTTTATGAAGAAATGGATGGTGGGTGGTTTTGGAATATTGGGATCTTTGGCTTTTTAAATTCCACCACTACCACCTGTCGTGGCAGTTTAAAATTTTTGAAAATTGAACTTTTTTTTTTTTAATAACCCTTGAAAAGGGTTTTGAAATGACTGTTCTACCTTTGCGGGATTGACTTTCTACAGAATTTGAATGCTGTGTCTTTGACCGTACCTGCACAAAGAATCCGTGACTTCTCTCTGATGAAGACGTATGTGTATTGCCTGGAAGTTTCTGTTGGATCAGCTGCGGGATGGGACACCTTAAGAAAGAGCCGTATTTTGGGAACTTAGCTCATCAGATGGGTTTTATTGTTTATTATTATCGTTGACTACCTAAACCTAGCCTTAAGATTTCATTAATTGTGTCTTGTAATGGTTAATAACCAATTTTATAAAGTATAGTACAACCAAATGCCTATTTATCATTATTGCTGTTTTTATTTAAAAAAAACAAAAACAAAAACAAAGTCTCTTTATTTTGTTTTGAATTTGAATTAAAAGCTGGGGAATTAAAGCGGTATACATTTATATTTCAAGTTTAGTCTTCAATCTATTCTTACAAGTTTGATTGCTTACAATTTTTCTTTATATTTTAATTCATCCTTCAATTTATCTTTTTAGTAGATAAACCTATACAAAGTAATGAAAATACTCCCTGGTAAAAAATTCAAATATAACCTAATTTTATTTTTTAAAAAAAATAACCATGGAAAAAATGAATTTTAATATCATATCACAATTTTTTTTAAAATTATTTATTTAATAAATTAAATAGGTTTTGAATTTTTCGAATGGCATTAATTTTATCAGTTTGCATGAAACTATTTACTAAATTAATAAATTGAAGAATGAATTAAAATATAAAAATAGATTCTAAGCAATTAAATTTGTAAAATTAAATTGAAGACTAGATCTGATATATATATATATATATATATATATTCGAGCTAATTCTCCTTAAAACTAAATAAGTCCTTAAAACAAAATAAGTCCAAAATTGTGGAAAATATTAGGTACATTGGGAATATTGTTTTCGTCTGTAATATGGAACCTGACCTAATATTATAACTGCCCATTATCTCTACTTGCATAGAAAGAAGTGGTTAGTGGTTGGAAGAGTGGGGAGTAATTGCTCTGTGATTTAAACCTAAAGTTGAAAAAAAAAAAAAAAAAAACCGACTAAAGCTAGCATTTTTTTCAACATATAATAACTAATTATTATTGGAAACATGTATAGAGGAAGAAATCTGGATCACATAGTGAAAAATAAAATTCTTTTGATTTTCATAACTCCATGAATTTAATTTCAAGATATAAAAAACTGACATGAAAATATTTATAACTATAAAAAGATGGTAATTTGTAAAACTCTATTTTCTTTCAACAATTAGTACTACTTAACTTTCTAATACAATACAAAGCAACAACTATGTTTTAAACAAGTTTTTGTTGTTGTGGATTATTAATTGACAATAAATAATTTTTTTTCACTTTTTTTGAGTCATTTTAAAATCTGAACATTATCATATATAAAACAAGAGGAGTTGGCATTCTTTGAGCAAAATGAAATTTAAAAAAAAATGAATATACAAACAGTAAACATATTAAAATACCGAATGAGTTTAATCAAACATAAGTATACCATCTTTTTTAAGTAACTAGTAATAAGACTTGAATCCAAAACCTTAACTAAATATATCTTAAACTAGTTCAAAAAAATCTCGAAGTCAATTAGAAAAATTTTTCTATATAAATAAATTTGAGAATTGTTTTTAATTCTACCTTCATTATTAAGTCTTTTTTCACAAGAATGTATACAATATAAGCATCCCTTATGCGGGCAACGCTAAGTAAAAACGCACGATGCGTCCCTAGAAACGTGCAGGGTTTAAAGACCTTTCAAGCCTCAAGAGTCGAGTGCTAGAAACTGAAGCCAGGGGCTTAAAAAAAAAAAACTGCCAACGAAAGTGACAGCGAAAGTAAAAAGGCTTGTACGAGCAAGACTCCGTTTTACTTTTTTCTTTGTATCGATATACGAGGAAGACTACTTCAATGACTGTTGTCGAGTTTTTTTTTTTTCATAATAAAATATTTTTAAATCTTATCTTTTAAAATAGAATAATTTTAAACTTAATTATCAATATAAGATATTTATGTCTTGTAGAAGCCATCTTATTTATATATGTTGACATGTTAGTTTTACTTAAAAAGCAAAAATTATTTTTTTCTAAAAAAGAAAAAACCTTTTACCATCACAAATTAATCTTCTCCTTCTTAAACATTCTCTCTTAATCAACCCATTTTAACTACCTTCTCCCTATATCAATCCATGTTTTTTTTTCTTCTTCCTTTTTGCTTTCCTTCTCTCTCTATCTTTATGCATCTCATAACGCTTTTTGTTCCTCTTTCTATTGAAAAATCAATTTTAATAACTCGATTTCAATTGTTGGAATTCTACTTCGGTCATGATAGTTATCTATTGAAAGAGTTTCAATATTCATAGCACATCGTCATCTTTTTATACATTTATCCTTCTAATTTCCCTTCAATTTAAAATTACCATTAAATTGTTATTTCATAGAGATCACAACCGATTGCAACTTGTTCTAGATTTTTTTTATACCAATCTCAATTGAAAGGACTTTAAAACAAAAGATTTATAAGGAGGTTGAAAGATAGTCTACAAGACAATCTATCTTTTAAACTCTAAATTAAACAACTAAAATTGCTAAATATATATAATATTAATGAAAACAATCAAAACATAAACTAACTTTTGTTTATCTCAACAATGAATTATAGATTACGAAGTCGAACAAAAATTGAAATTGATAGATATTGAATTAAAGATCTATACAAGTAATAATAATACTAAAAATATAAAGACTTATAGATGTAGAAACCGATGAACAAGCATCGATTGAAACTCCAAACATTGAGAGACGGGATATACGTGTGTTGCAATGAAAGTGACAATTGAACCGAAACGATCTACCAGTCTACAATTATTGTTTAGTTGATTACCGTCTATAAACTATAGCCTATTTTGTTTCACGTATTTACAAGATAAAGCCAGTAATTTGCAAGAGTTGTTGTATTGTGTTTGTTGTATTCGTTGTATTTTATTGTTTCTTTTCCTCATGTGGTCGGAGTTGATATTTATAGTCCTTTCATCCTTTTATATATATATTTTTTACCTATCGGGTTCTTGAGTTGCAATGCCTTATAACTTCCTTCATTGGGCTACAATGCTTCATGTTTGTCTTGGGTTACAATGCTGCATGTTCTTTGATATTCTCACTTATTCATTGCAACAATATCATGTATCTCTTATTTATGTTTCCAGTCACTTAAAATAGTTAGTCGTTTCTTTTAAATAGGACTTGCCTTTTCACTTCTTTTATCCATAGTGCAATTTTGTTTAAAATTGTATTAGGTTTCTTTGTCTCTTAAGCATAAAAGTCTTTGGACCTTTTTTTTTATGTGGAATTGATCTCGTGAATTCGGCTTTTAACGCACTAGTAGCTTTTAAGACCTATAATATGGGCTTTATAATCAAAACCTCATTGAGCCTTAATCAATTTGTTGGGTCGTCAAACTCTAATTAAATTAGGGTATAACACAACTCTATTTTTTATTGACCAAGTAAATTATCTCATTTAAATGAAAAATATGGTTGTATAGAAGTTTTTTCACTTAGAATTTTGATGGAAAATTGAAAAATTAGCAAACTTAGTTATTGATTGTTGTCACTAGTTAGTTGTCTTTTTTAACTAATTGATTATGATATGCACTTGCTTTTGCTTAGGTTTTGTATTAAGGGATTGGTTAAATTATTGTTAATTATATGGGATTTTGTTTGTGATCGAGTTACTTGTAGTGTTAAATTGTTAATTTACTATGAGCTTGTATTTATAATGGAATTAATTTAGCCTTATCAATTATTTGATTATGGATGATTAATGCTTATTTAGCGGTTGAATGAATAAGGTTAAATTGGTTAGTGATATTGTTTATAACTCGACTTGTTTTAGTTTTAAATTGATATATAAGATAGGGATTGATTGTTCTTGTGATTATTCGAATGAGATTTAGTTGAGGATAATTTGAAATAGAAAGAAAAATAGTTTATGATCGACCTTGCAAACAAAAGAAATGCCCGACGAGTGTGGTTTAACCGTCAACAAAACAATAAAAAGTGTCTTTACGGACATGGATAGAGAGGGTTAACATTGGATATGTCAAGACCGAATGAAAGATACTATTCATATATGTTAACGAGTTAACAAGAGACGAAAGGCATCAATTTTCTCGGTTATTATAAATTCTCATGATCAATTTCTTTGTTGTCATTAACTATTCACAACCCAAAAATCCGTATATCATTTGACAAGGAAAAACTTCACCGAAAAAGTAACAGAGATAGATGACCAAATAGAGAATGGTGTGGTGCATTTATGACGAGCTCTTAAGTTGTTGAAACTAGCTAGCTCACAGAATATAATGTGACAGAAAGACCCCTCTTGTTTCTTTCATGGAGGGTGCAAATATTTTGGCTTTTGAAAAGTTAACATCAATTTTGTTTTTCAATTATAGAGAAGAGAAGGGGGAGGGGGAGATAATTCAAGATTTTGATAGAGCAGTCGATAACTCGATCATAATCCCGAAGAAACATGAGGGGGATAATTAAAGATTTCAATTTGGATGATCATAGTAAAAGTTTGTCAAAGAGACCAAAGGGGTAGCTAGTAGGAACCATTATGAAAAATATGCAAGTTTGATGTGGATAAAGCTAGCAAGCTAAAAATATAACAAGTCCCATGGATAACTGAATTGAAATTATAAAAAACCTCCTACCTAGATAGTATTAACACGATTAAGATCTATTAATATGAAAAAGTTGATTAACACCATGACTTAAATTCATTCTAATATCAAATCAAATTACGAACATGCAATTTATTCATTATGTATTAATAATAAATATATTGTAAGTTCACATATTTTAAGAATTTAGAGAAAAAATAGCTAAAGAAAGAACGCAAGTTTTTTTTAATTATTATTCTAAACCTATATAATAACTACTTAATTAAAAAAAATGACATGAATATCTATACAGTAAAACTGTCAATTTTTTTTAATGAATAAGATTTAAAGTGACTTGTTTTGAAAAAATATATTAAAAGATATCCTATTTTAAGAAAAAAACTCGACTGTCATCGGTACGGTACTATTGTTTTAATTTAGTATTTTCTCTTTTGGTCACCAGCTAATGCGCATGTAATCAACAATTGTTTAAAAACATAACCCAAGTTCCAGGAAAGTTCCAAAATGCTTTAATTACCTGCAACAAAATTGTCAGTACTGCATAACGCCGTCATCCGAAATCCAAATACAGCAATGCTCCCATTAGTTGGGTTCACTTTATTGCCCATTGTCATTTAATTAATGAAGAGTATATCGTAAGATGATGTAATGCATACCTACGTTTCATGAGCGGTGTTGCTTTCTGTCATATATTCTATTGCCTCTTTAGTAGACCTCTCCTATTTCTTTGTTGATAGTTCATGCATTTGTTGAATTGCTTTGCTGTTAGCGGAGAAAGGTCCGCACGTTTTGGAGGGGAACATCTCTAATAATGAACATTTGTGGCATTGCCTGAGGTTTAGAAAAGCACGTGATATGATATGTGTAGACTTCTCACTGGAAGGTCTTAAATTCAAATTGGACAAACATTAAAAAAAATCATCATTATGTCATTACCAAATGATTCTTTATATCATTTTTATTATGAAACTTTAAGAAATTTGTAATTAAATTATTCTTTTAACAATTTTCAAGATTTTCTATCTATATTTTCATTTAAATTATAGTGTATTTATAAAATTGATGTCATTTTATTAAAAAATTAATTTTTAAGTGATTCTAATGGAAGTTCTTAATTGAAAAATCAAAATAATTTAATCATAAAATTGATAAAAAATAATTTGAATCTAAATTTGATAATACTTTAATAGTTTGATGATATATTTAATGATCGTCCATTCTAATTATATAAACGGATAGAGTTTTTAGAGGAAAAAAATACTAGTATTGTTATGCATTTTAAACCAAATGGATCTCTCCATAAATTAGAAAATCCCATTTTCCCACCTCTTGAAAAAATCGAAATACTTCGTTTATAATGAAATTTTTTAGAATTGATTTATTTGATTTATGGGTAAGTATTCTTACGACTTGTCCGTTTGTGTCGTGCAATCATATTTACCAACTTAAATTGTTTGGCTCTAACAATTGATATTTCAAGAAGAAGTCACTATTGCACAAATAATTCCAATGTACTTAACTTATACAAAAAAAATTTAGAATCCAACCCATACCGATTTTTATTGAATATCTTTTGATTTTTCAATGAGCAACGAGGGTGCGTAAATACAAGTTTACAAGAAACGAGATGTTTTATCTTAAAGAAATAAATTAAATTATTTGTTTCGATCCTAAGAGGCATTAATTGTAACTATAAATAGATTTATTTCAAATAAATGAGTTACTCTTAAAATGGAAATTCGGATTTTATTTTTACGTGATTCACGAATGACATATCTCGGGTCTACAAAACATGCTTAGAGATTGATCTATCATTTCATGGCGACCAAGATCCAATGTATCTATGCACTCGTTAATTTTACATGTACTTGGCATGTCTTGCCTTCGATCGCATTGTTAGACTTAAATTTTTCTTCCAAAAAATATATATAAAAAAGAGATAGAAAATGGACCAAATAAATTTAATTGGATAGGTAATTTAAAAGAAATAAGAGTTGAAAGGATAAAATAAAATGAGCTTTTAAGATAAGGCATCAAATAAAATTTTGGCTAAAAAAAACCATAAAAACTCACTATAAAAAAAACGTCATTCACTGCAGAGTAAAGGAGAAAGGGGATAGAAAAATTTAAAAGACAAAGAACATATAGAAAAAACCCAAAAAGTAATAGTCTTTCTCAAAAAACTCTCATCGGTTGCAAACTCTCATGGCCATCTCCTCTACCCACTAGCTAGCTATTGCCACACATGGTAACGGTTCGGTTCGAATTGTAAACCGAACCGAAATCAAATCTTTAAAAAATCGAATCGAAATTGTTAAAACCATAACTTTGATCAAATCGGACCGTAACCGGCTACCTACGAGTTGGTTATGGTTTAAGGCATCATGAAATTAGAACCGGCGGTTCTAAACCGACGATTAACCATAGAACCGATGGTTTTACGTTTTTCCTAATAAATTTGGATTAGGTCGAAAAGAAAAAAAATTTAAATAAAAAAACCAATTTTATATGGGATAGACGAGTAGCTATTGGATCGAAAAAAGAAAAAAATTAAGCCTAATAATTTTTAATTTTTGGACGTTATATATATATATATATATATATAAATTGAGTATGTGACAAACGATCACATTTTTGTGACCGTTTGTCACAACTCAACGATTACAAAAAAGTGATCGTTTATAAAACGGTCACAAACATTTATGATCGTTTTCTATTTTTTTTCTTTTCTTTTCTATAAATACCTTCTTACTCTCAATTTTATTCGTTTTTCTCACAACTTAATTTCTCATTCTCTCTCAATCTCTTAAACTCTTAAGTCTAGAATTCTCAATACTATCCTATAATATTTTTTATACTCTAAATACTTCTTAAATTTTTACATTTCTATTGTTTTATACTACAAAAAATGACAAGTTCAAGTTCATATCCGTCATCACAACAAAGTAATATTGTCAATCAAAATCGAGCAGGGGAGTAACAATAACAATCAAATTTTACACCTAGATCATCCGACATCTTCAAAATTCATTTCTCAAAAGTTTCGTTAGAAAAAGCGTTTTACTCGTGATTTGCAACTACCGCAACAAGCAATACACATTCAAACAAGGAGGTGGTTATGGAACATTTAAAACCCACTTGGAGAAAAAGCATCCATATGTACTTGGTAATGATAGACATCGGACATAAATATCCGGGTTTGCTTCTCAATCTTCCTTTTTATTTCAAGTACATTGATAAAAAAAATAAAGAAGAAACGACTAAAATGATATGTGTTGATCATTTATCTTTTAGTTTTGGTCAAAAAATGAGTTTTAGTGATTATTGTTGTAACGCTTTAAATCCCGCGTTCAAACAAGTTGAAAGACATTCTTTAAAAAAAAAACAGTTATAAAATTATATAGAGATAAAAAAAGAGAATTAACTCGTATTATTTATAAATTTGAATGGTCGTGTTTCTATATGTTCTGATATATGGTCTAATCAATGGCAAACTCACTCTTTTATGGGTGTAACGTGTTATTGGATTGATAATGAATGACACATGCAAAAACGTCTTCTTGCATATAGAGTTTTTTGATGATAAACATACCGCTCAAAATATATATAAAATACTAAAAAAGATTTTAGATGAATATGTTTTACCTTTAAGAATATTTTCAATTTCTTTTGATAATGCTAGTTCTAATGATGCTTCAGTAGAGTCTTTAGGAGAACTTTGTCAACCCCATCTTGGAGATAAGTTTTTCCATATTAGATGCGTATGTCATGTTTGAAATTTATGTGTGCAATCTGGTTTGGAATATCTTAAAGATATTGTTAGGCCAATTAAAGCTCTTGCTAAATATTTATGGATGCATCCCCAAAAGATGAAATCATGGGAAAAGTTTTACAAAGAAAGAAAAAAAACCAAGACGATTTTCAAAAGATGTTCCAACTCGTTGGAATTCAACTTATGACTTACTTAGACGATCATTTGAATATCGAGATTTATTATGCTCATTTTTTTCGGAAAATATTGATTCTTTTTTTATTTGTCAAAATGATTTTCAAACTTTGATTATAACAATTTTTGTCGTTTTCATCTATTTGGTCATTTTATTGTTGTTGTCTATTTTACTTATTTGTCTACTTTTAAACTATATTTTCACATATGCTATTTAGGTTGTATTAGCCACATATTCTTATGCATTATTATGCTTTTTTTATTTCTTTTTCGTACCTATTTATTTCAGAATAGAAATGAGATCCCCGATCGGTCAAGTCCTAAATCACTTACTCGATCGATAAATGTTTAAAAAATAAATATAGATTTTCATCCTAAAAAATAAAAATTACTTCGGATTTATATACAATACAGTTTGTGTTAAACATGACGAGATAAGGTGATTTCAATTTTCTTTATACATAACAAATCTCTTGCCGAAAATTCCGAATAAAACAACACTATGATTTTCTAATAAGATAACGAATCTAAGATTTCTAATAATCAAATTTAGCCAAGTACCTCAAGGCAAGAAGACAAGCCGATCGAATTTAACTGTCTTATCGAATAAAGTTGTTCCACGCATAGTACAATGGTCAAAAAGATGCAATGGAAAGGTGTCCTGATTAACATCCACTTTCAAAGAATCAAAGGAGACGGGTTTCTTCTATCCACGAGTTTGACCCATACACTTTTTCCGCAATGCAATTTCCTGGAAATCCATCCTTCTGCAAAAGTCTACTACAAATCCCATTGCGTAGGCCAACGTGTCATTCATTGAAAAAAGAGGAAAAAGAAAAGCCCCGTGGAGAGTATTGGTTGATAACGGCTATAAATGGCTCCAGGGGGGACGACTTTACGTTCCACTTTAAATTTAACAACCCATTAGTCTCTCTCTCTCTCTTTTAATATTACCAAAAAAAAAAAAAAAGAAGAAGATTTTTACCAGTGGTGCCAATCAATAATTGCCGCTAAATAAGCCTTACGAAAATAAAATGCAAGTAGTTAATAACTCAACCCTACTCCTTCGGCCTTCGGCCACCAATTCACTAGTGTCGTAGTCACTGGAATTTTTAGGATAAGTACGATCACTTCCCCTATTTATATATATATAAAAAAGCATTATTTTAGTTTATTTCTAACATCATAATTATAGCAGCAATTGATTTAGACACGTATAAAATTTGAAAAACATGGATAAGATGATAATATGATTAAAATGATTGTATGTTTTTTGGATGGTAAACATTATTTCCTAATAAATTTATGCATCAATCAAATCTATGAATTTAAGAAGGAAAGAAAATCCTTAATTTCTGGGATCCCTTGAGGTTACGAAATGACCATTTGTGGAAAACATTAAATCTGATTCATACGTCAAGCGGAATTAACGACAATTTGATCAAAATGATACTGGGAGCCTGCCTTTCCCTAGGTGGGCAAGATGGATTTCAGAGGAAACGACTCTACCAAGTTTTGTTTATCCAGTGGGCCTACGTAAATTATCCCCTTCAAATAGATCGGTGGGCTTTATCGATCCTTTATCTGATTTCAGCCCAACATTGTTTCCATCTATATAAATTTGATATCTCAAAAGCACCCTTAACTTCAACGGCTGAGATTGTGCCAAGCAAGATAAAAAAAACGTAATAAAGAGAAATCCAACGGCGAAAGAGAGTGCAAAGAAGTCTAACTAAGGGCTTATATTGTTCTGCCGCATCATGCAGGCACTTGGTTATTTCCTCATCAAATATTTGGCTTTCCTCTAGGGTTTTACTCTTATCATCACAAACAGAGAGAGAGCTCTCTTCCTCTTCAGGTATGGTTTCCGATCATTCTCTCCTGCCAAGAAAAGTGAACTAAATTTCTTCTCTGGTGTTCTTATTTGACCTAGCCGTGTGTTGGTGTAAATAATTAGTTCGGAGGAGGCGAGGAGAAACGGTTAGCAAGAATGGCGCGGCCAGTTTTCGTTGGAAACTTTGAACACGAGACAAGGCAATCGGACTTGGAGCGCTTGTTCGGCAAGTACGGACGGGTGGAGCGAGTTGACATGAAATCCGGTAAACTGTCTGGGTCAATTTTTTTTTTAATTATTACTTAATTTGATGATGAAATGCGCAATTAACTGTAATTGAGTTTGATTATTGGTGTATGGTATTATAAACGGGTGGAGCGAGTTGACATGAAATTCGGCAAACTGTCTGAGTCTTTTTTTTTTAATTATTATTAACTGTGATTGAGTTTGATTACTGGGGTAATGATATTATTCATGATGAGTTGCGGTTTAGGATAGAGTGGAAAATATTTTTTGATTGATATATTTTTTGCATTTCAGCTCAATTATCATTTTAACCATGTTAACTCCTATTTTTTCATTTGAAACCCTGTTGGTATAAGGTTGGATGGCTTTGGTTTTTAAGGAAGCTCACACTGTAGTGTATTGTGTCATGACTAATTGGTTTTAAGCTAAGTTTTGTGATTTCGCCAAGGGATTGTTAGTTTTGGTATTGAGTGGGATTGGTTTGTTAAGTGAATGGTGGTTATTGTGTAGATTCTCGACTGGATAGCTATTCTGAAAATGAGTTTGTGGGATATAAAATATACAGCTACTTGATTAGCAGTGATCACATTCAAATTAAAAATCCAGTTAGAAATAAAAAATGGAAACACCAAATTTGAAGTTTCTCTGGAGAACTCCTCCATATTAAGTGTTTGTTTTGACGCAGGAACTCTTACTAAGGAAATTTGAACTTCTATCTGGCTCGCCAACATTTGTAGTGGCTTGGAAACTTTCTTGCTTGTCTGCTCTCCTTCTCCTTCCACTCACAGATGGAATCATCCTGTATTTTCATCACTCGATCATCTGTCACTCACCCACCTCACCGCCCTAACTTTGCATTTCACAAGAGTGGTCGTGATGATCTCAGTCAATTTACTATGCCTTGTCTACCACTACTGATAATAGGAGGATGTATTGAAATCTGTCTTGCCATGCGATCCATTTCTGAACTAGTGCTATCTGAATGGAGAAGCATGCTTAGCAATGACATCTCAGACCTGAAACTTTGGATTTTAAACTCTTAAAATGCCAACTCTTCATTTAGTTCATCATGCAACGCTTCTACAATCTACATCCTTATGTGCATCAGCCCATCAAGTATTTTGCAGGTGTTGTATAACTTTCAAGTTCTTACCAGGATAAGGAATCCTGATTTGGCTGATGTACCCTACTGGATTTAATTCCAAGGTCATGCATCACTTTTTTCTGTCTCTAATTTGAATTGTTGGTGCAGGGTTTGCTTTTGTTTATTTTGAGGATGACCGTGATGCTGCAGATGCTATACGTGGACTTGATAATATACCTTTCGGATATGACAGGCGCAGGCTTTCAGTGGAGTGGGCTAGGGTATATGCTTATTCTTTCTTTTTTGCATGGTTTTCAATCTAATGCTGTGTTCTTGTGCTTCTCAAGTTGTTGGTTTAATTGCAGTAAGTAAAAGAGATTGATTATATCATGAATGTGCTAGGGTGAACGTGGTCGGAACCGAGATGGGCCAAGGTCGACAGCGAACCAGAGGCCAACGAAAACCCTGTTTGTTATTAATTTTGATCCAATTTACACAAGGGTTGAGGACATAAAAAGACACTTTGACCGTTATGGAGAGGTGCTGCATGTCAGAATTCGACGGAACTTTGCATTTGTGCAATTTGAGACACAAGAAGATGCTACCAAAGCTCTTGAGTGCACGCACATGACGTTAGTCCACATGTTTTGAGTGTGTTGCTTGTTTAAACAGCTTGGTTAGGTTTTCTTCCATTTCTTTTTTAGATCAGCTTATTAATATATTGTATTGTCTTCCATTTTTGCAGCAAGATATTGGACAGGGTAGTTTCTGTTGAGTATGCTTTGAGGGATGATAGTGAGCGGGGTGACAGATATGATAGTCCTAGAAGAGGAAGTTATTATGGGAGGTCACCGAGTCCAGTTTATCGCAGGCGACCAAGTCCTGATTATGGTCGAGCTCGCAGCCCTGTTTATGATAAGTACAGTGGTTCAATGCATGACAGGCACCGGAGTCCTGATTATGGTAGGAACAGAAGCCCTGAGTATGGCAGATACCGCAGGTATTGCATTCAACGAAAAGAGAGAATTTCTTCTAATTTTTCTTTTTCATTTTCCCCAAGGAAATGGTGCAATTATTTGTTTTTTGAAGTTCTTGGAGCTCATTTTCTCTTCTCTTCCAGAGGAGCACACTCATGTTGCACTGTCTGTTGTTTTCTTATGTTTGTTAACAGTCGTTCACCAGTACGAAGGTCAAGAACATGAGGAGTCGTGGGAAACGTTCTGCTTGGCTTTATGTGCCATTTACTGTGTAATTGCAATAGCTGTAGACCTGCTGTGTAGAAAATTTCATTTTGGCATAGTATGTAGTTTCTTCTCTAGTGTATGTTGATTTCATGGATTGCAAATGGTTACAATTTGGGTTACTCGGTCTATTTTTCTATTACAGTAGTGATATGGTCGAATTTGGTTGTCATTGGCCTCATAGTAGACATAGAACCTCTCGTTTGTTTTAATCTGATGGAAATCAAGGTTCTAGCAGCATCTTAATTCTTAAGGTGCTGGCATCATCCTCGTTAAAATTTCTGTTTAGTAGATGGTAAATTTCTGTTAACCCGTCTCAGAATTTTGGCCGATGCCTTTATAATTCCTTTTTGGTTGTGTGGTTGAGAAGTTGGATTTTCAGCTCAAAATGTTTTTTTTTCCTGTGAAGGATGAATGGGTAGGCTTGAAGGTTGTAAAATATATTCTTAGTCACTACGTTCAACACTTTTAAGAGAAGATTTACTTCGAAAGTGTAAATGGGTGCATGGGCGTGTTTTACCTTAAAAATCATACCGACAGATTTTATTCGTGAAGGGAAGATTTGAACGCTTTCTAAGAGAACGGCAGATTATCAAACGTCTTCTTAAAAACGTTTGAGTTTTGGTGCCATACCTGTCTACTTGTATGGAAGTCAATTTTAGGGCTTGTTTGATAATTTATTTAAGTATCTTAAAAAATTAAATTATATTACTTAATATAAAAAAATTGTTTGATAATTTAAATAAATTTATTTTTAAAATTTAAATTTAGTTAAATTTTACTTAATTAGATAAATTTAAATTTTTAACTTATTATTTTTTATTAATAAGTTCAATTAAATTTTTTTAAAATTTTTTAAATATGACTGTATATCCGTCATTTATTTTCTGCATCAAGAAGAATTCTTTTTCAAATCCATCAAAGGCGTCAGATGAAAATTCAATTAGCGCAGGAGTTTTCGTATATAATAATAACATGAGAGCTTGCTTAAACAAGACATTAGCCAATTTTATATACAATAACATGAACCCAACAGCCATAGGCAAATTCACCCAAGTTTTCAAGAATGATATAATTTCTGCACTGCTACCTTTGACTGTGACAACCAACACATCTTTGGTGTCTCTAAGGATTGTGTAGTTAAAACGAAAACAAAGAACATTAACCCAAGTGGAATAATTTTTTTGAGAGTCACAAGCTCAATGCCCAAAAACTTTGGTTTATCAGGTTCTTTACCAAGCAAAGACTGTCCATCAGCGGCAGCTGCAGCCTCTGCCCTGTAAATATGAAAGTTTCTGTCTTTTGGGGGAAACCCACTTGGTTTTGATACAAAGGTAGGAAATTTTGGAGCCCCGTTTGATGATAAAGAAAACCCAGTAAAAGTTTTAGGTTTGATAAAAAAAAAAGCCTCTGCTTTAAGCCCTCTGGAGGATACAAATATCTGGTTTTGGGGTTTGGTAGCAGTGAAAGAAGCCCTTTGGTTTGTAGCACCGGTTCCATGTCTCTCCCTTTTTGTTTCTCTCTCTCTACCTCTCTTTTGGTCCCTTAAACTAAACCCAAACCTTTGGTTTTTCAAGAAGAAGGCATAAGAGAGACACGGATATAAATAGGCAGATAAGGTGGCTAGAGGAGATTGATTTGCCCAGAGAGAAAAGTAGTGAATTGATATAAATATCCTTTTATATCAAAAACCTAAAAAACCGAACCCTCATTGTCTTTTTAAGACTTCTATTCAAAAAAAACAAAAAAACAAAAACAAAATAACTTAAAAAGATGATGTTTAATTTTTTATTAATAATTTTTTTATAGAATATTTTTTTATTTATTTATACACACTAACACACACACATATATATATTAAAAACTAACACACACACATATATATATTAAAAAATATCATGTTATAATTATAAGGTTAAAATTGTCATGTATATAACCTTGATATATTCGATAACAATATTTATTAAACAATTTTATTATATTCAACACTTAATTTTTAATAAATATCAAATAATTTATCAAGAACATATTCAACACTTAAAATTTAATATATTTTTTTTAATTTTATCAAACATCAACTTAATTTTTTTATTGTACCTAAAATAAAAGCCTTTTGAGCTTCTTCTATTTCTATTGTACCAAACATAAAAGCCTTTTGGGCTTTCATTTTCAGCGAGCAATGTGCGTTTGGAACGCCAACTTGATCATTACCTCACTGTCATCTGTGCTGTTTTACGTGAAGGTGTGTGATTGTGTCACTTGTTGCTACGCTTAGCATCTCTTTTCAGTTAGTAGGGGATTCTGTTAATCTGTGAGAGCAGTTCCAGTTAGGACAAAAATGTTATCCTGCATATAATTCGAAATGAATTTCATTTTGCCCATCAATACAAGCTGCTCTTGCAACATAATGAAAAAGACAACCTCTTGCTCTTACAACATGATGAAAAAGACAACCTCTTGCTAGGTTAATACAACAGGAAAGATAATCAAGAAGATTTCCTTGATTCTTGTTCAAGTGCTTTCTCGAGCCAGGTTTCTGCATCCTGCATCATCTCAGGACTGAGCCTCACCATCAGAATGCAGAATTCTGTTTCATTGAGTACTCCATCTCCATCAAGATCTCCTTCTCTCACCATAGCCTCCGCCTCTTCTTTGCTCATCCCTTCCATCCCTAGAAGTGCTGCATTTCTTCGCAGACTTTCTGCAGTAATCAACCCCTTTTGGGGGTCTGCCAGAAGCCGAAACCCCCCACATAATTCAGACACAAAATCCTCTACACCAAGCTTCTCTGCCATCACCGGTAACAAATCCTTGTACTCACTGCTTGTTGCAGTTTTCATCCCGATGTGATCCTTCTCCATTTCTCTCGATGAGAAAATTAAGGATCCTTCAATCAGTGGAGTGGTATAAACAACTGTGTGGTGTGGGCAAATATATAAGCCTTAGGGAAGAGCTAAAGCAGACAGATTTATCCGACCTTTTTATAAGCATGGAAAGTGTCATTGCTTTTCTCTATGGTCCCATATCATTTGGGTAGTTTCTAATGAAGCTCAAAAGAAATTGAACACATCAAAGACATTTATTTCTATCCACTACTCATGTAACTGTACGGTCAGATTCACACTTCTACAAATGAGCAATTCAGCATATCACAAGTACTGCGGTGGTGCCACCATTATAAAAAAAAATAATAATAACAATCTTTATTTTATTCCAACATTTGGGGTTTCTAGGAAGGTTCATTTGGAGGGGAATATAGGCAGGATCTTGGGGGTTGTGGCTTGACGCAATCTTAAATAATTGATGGAAAGAATTGCTTAAAATGTCCGTTCGGTGTGCTTCTGTGAAGGTTCCTGTTCTCTCTCTCCCCCTCTTTCTTGATGTTTGGATTCTTCCATTGAGTTGTTCCCTGTCCATTATCCCACTATGATTTATATGTTCCTTTCCCTTTGTTCGTACTAGAGTAACTAGACAATCGGTAGCAATTCATTTTACATGAGTCCTTCTCCATTAATCATGCATATTGTGCATATCTTGTTTCTAATTACCCATGAGTGAGCTTTATATTTCCTCGTAATTAATGAATCATTCATCAAGTGCTTGCTCTTCATTGACACTGAACCCTAATTAAGATTTCTTTTTAATGAATACGTGCGATTAGTGGAAATTGCCATCCAAAAATTGATGGTCACACAGATGACTTGCTTCCAGCAAAGACCCCCAACAATATTATTTTTTTTTTCCAATTTGATGGTGAGAGATCCTTACCAAAGTCATCCAGAAGTCTGCGCAGTTCAGCTTGAAACTAAATTTTCGTATCTTTTTTAAGGATTTTTTTGGGCTGTGGTATGCTAAACCACATATTGGAGTGACGATGTTTCCAACATTTTTCCCATCTTTGAAATTAACTATCAGTGTCCTATATTATTTTGGAGAACTATTTGTCTGAAATGAAAGACAAGCAAGAAAGTTCAAACACACACATAAAGCCAGGAGAATTTGGTACTCTTGATAGATAAGATTATAACAAGCAAGTGATTTGATGACAAGAGCTTTCTAACTTTTTACAGGCATAGTTGGTTTTCTTTGCTTACAAATTCCATGAGCTCATCAATTGCGAAATTCTTGTCTTCACGTCCTTGGTTTTAATAACTGTGCAATGGAATGTCTGTATGCAATCAGGTAATCGAACGGGGCTTATCAATTTTGATTGTGCATTTGTATTGGCCTCGTGTCTCAATCAATAACAGCATTTCATGTTCTTTACCCTTTTTTTTTTTTTTTTACTTATTTTATTGGCATAGACAGGCTAAATCAACTAGCAGTGATCATTCGATTAAACGATTCGATTCGGTTTTTGGTTAAACAAATTAAGAAAAACAAAAATCAAAATCGAATTGAAATAAATTCGGTAAATTGGGTTTGTAACCGAATTATTTCGGTTTTATTTCGAAATATTTCAGTTTTAATCGAAATATTTTACTGTAAAAAAAATCATTTTTTTAAATTTCTTTTTGTGTTTACTAGAAATGCTACTACTACTTACTACTACTCATGTTTTTTTGTTTTAGCCAAAACACCATGTTATCTTATCATCATCATCCTTACTATAGTATCATTTTGGATTTACATGCTTCCCTGCCTAACCACACTCCACACAAAACAAAACATTGAGTAAGACAAGTTTTTTTTTTTTTTTTATTATTATTATACAGGACCACAACATCTTTGACTCCACCGCACCTACAAAGACAAAAAGATGCATAAGAAAAAATAAAACAGAAGATAATGTTATAAGGCAATTACTAAAGCCAACAACCAAATCAGTATTTCATCATTTCTATGAAAGTTAAAAAGCATTACCTTTCTAATAATGCTATGGGTGTTATAAACCGAATGCACATCCACTTTAGTTGAAACTCGACCAGGTACCAATTTAGCCAAATCACCTCCAACATTCACCAATACCTATAACAACACCAACAACTCATGTCATTAATCCAACAAAACAAAGTTCACATCACATACATTTCTTAACAAGCTATCATCAATATCCCGGAAAACAAACCTTGTTTACAAATCAAGACAATCTTAACTCATCATTTTCAAAAGCGAGAACAACCCGAATTCGCCAATGTGGTATTCTTAACACTCTACAAATAAAACAAATTAATAAAATCTTAGTAAATGCATAATGTTAGTCCCGAAATGACCATACCATACTTCCATTGCATCACGAGATGATATTTACACTTTCTTATCAATCAACCACTACCTACTAAGCCTACCTATTAATAACATTTATACAAAAGGTTGGCATTTGGCAATTGTCACCTGCATTTCTCATTCTCTCTAGCGCATTTTCACGACTTTTTTTTGCTTATAAAACACATGCATCCCTCCATATAAGTTCTAGCTTTACCCAATAGCAGGCAAATATCATAACAAGGCCCCTCGTTACATGCTTTGTGCTTGGTGGTGAAGCACCTTTTTTGTTAAAAGGCACCATGTAGGATACCACTAGCTATAGTAGCGAGCATGTTTTTCCTATTAAGGTGCTCCAGATTCAAGAATTCAAGTTGACTTTAGCTATAACAAAACAAGCCCAATTAACTTGACAACTTTCTCACACTAATTCTAACTAACCTTGCTCAAATGTGTAACCAATCTGCATTAATGCTAAACCCAACTTAGACCGGACACAACAAATGAACAAATCATGTATTGCTCTTAAATTCACAATATTTCATTCGAAGCTTGATGAACATTGTATGCTATTTTAAAATAATCCACAAAAGGGAATCTTTGATCCGATATAATTTTTTATCAATCAATCATCCACAAGACATACGGAGAGGTGAATCGGAAAAAAAGTAAAAGAGACTAACCTCTTTATATAAGTAAGCCAAATACATGAATCGGTAAACGTGAAAGAAACGAAAGCATAACCATTTACCAAATTCTAAAAACTACTACAAATTAGAGAGAAACAAGAGTAAACCTAGGATTTTAGAAATTAATGACCGTGAATATTTTAAAATTATAAAGCAAGAAAGAAGAGAAGTACGAGAGGAACATATGTTCATGGTCCGAACTAGAGTTTCTCTCCCTAAGACATTCTAAATCTTGTAAAGAACCATGCAAAGAGTAGCCTAGAATAATAATAAAAAAAAATTAAACTATGTTTCCTTTCTACTATTAAATTGAGATTAAAAGATTTAGAAACAAAAAGGTAATTTTTTATCAATCAATCGTCCACAAGAAGGGAATGAGGGATAAATCTAAGATCACATAAGGATCGAAGGAGAACCGAAAAGTGGAGACTGGAGAAGAAAGGAATGAAGTCGAAGGAGGTTAGGAAAGAGTGAAAGATAGAAGGAGAATTGGAGAGATTGGTGAATACGTACGTGGTTTGCGTGTTTCGGTTTTAAACGAGAACGAAGATTGAAGAAGTTAGGGATTTATAAATTAGGATTATTTTTTACTCGTTTATTTTGGTTTTCGATCGAAATCGAATTTTTTTTCAAAAGCTAAACCGAAACTAAATAATTTTGATTTTTTAGTTTAGTTTTAAATTGTATAATTTTATATTTAAAACCAAATTAAATTTCACAATTCGATTCAATTTATTTGATTTTTTGTTAAACGAATCGTTTGCTCACCCCTAAAATCAACCACTAAGAGTTTGGTTGAATCAAGGAAGGAGAAGGCCCACTGGATCTAAGGTCTCAAAGTTCAAACACCTTATCTCGCTTTTGAATAATGTCTATGTTCAATTTGTTAATACATATTAATTAAAAATTTAGTTAATTTTATTTTGTATTAATCTTTTTTTTTCAGTATGAGTCAAAATTATATAATAAATAGATTGGACCGAGGATGAGTCTCGTCAAATACAAAACTTTGGGCCATCTAAAAATCAATACGGGTATTCTAGTAAGACCAATATTCATGTCTTGTCATTGAGATGCATTAAAAATATTGGCTTAGAGGTCTCAAAATAGCATTCGTTAAAGGAAGACTAAGTTGTTACATTTTTTTTAATCTTTGCTAGCAAGTTAGAGCAATTTATCTTAAAAGAGACCTAATTTTCTTAATTCAAATTTCACCGTCCAAATATGGATGATGTGATACAATCATAACGATCAATGATTATTTTTAATTTATTATAAATATCAACCTCACATTACTGTGAGAGGATTTCAACTTTCTAAACCTTAGCAAAATCTCTAAATAGTCTTTCAAAACTCCTCATTTACACATCAAACAATACCTAAAGCTCTATTTATTTGGACTTTAGCTACTCATGTGTCTGTCGCTTAACTTGCACCTTACTAGTATTGTTTGCTCTTCCTCTCACGCCTCTATTAATTGCATTTATTTTATTTAATTGGTTAATTATTGCTTCTATAAGTCACAACAATAACTTTTTATATCGTGATCGGTCTACCAATAATTATTTGATCAATTCTCAAGAATCTTCTCACATATTTTGACGACTCCGTTGAAAATGAGTGATGGTAAAAGAATAATGACTTCTTACGGGATCATAAAAAACAATACTAATCATGCAATCAATTCAACCATCCATAATAATAACATTACCCTACTTGATCTCGGTAATATTTCTAACAATACCAACTGGCTCAAAATTAAAAATGGCAACAATCTTTAAAACCCCCTATATAAGCAATGACGACTCGCTAACATTATCGGAAACGATCTATCTTGATCCATTATTCAAGCTTCGCCATGATTATTATACATCCAAGCCTTCAATTCATGGCCAAAATCCCTAAGGTTTTCCAAAATACTCAACTCGAACTATAGTAAGAATAATAACAAGTCTTTAAAGTCTTTTAGAACAACAATGATGCATTTTCCCGTGCCTTTAACAACATCACTCAACTACTTCCTATAGGTAGACTTACATAAGCTATTATCCCTAAAACCGTGATGCCACCAACTATTAATGTAGAAGATAACCTAATACCATCGGTTCAACATAATGACACGAAGGCATCCCCTACACAACACATGTTGTACGATTATGCATGACCACCAATTGCTTAATCTAGTTGTTGATTCTACCGATTAATATTATTATCTTACTACGGAGACTTAAAAAAATTATTTGAAAGAAAATTGACAAAATCTATTAGTGAGTCCGATCTCATACTTTTCTATCTAATCTATATTTGTACGAGACCTTATTTGAAGGACTATGTGAGTTTCAACTTTAAAGTAATGAAAAATAATGAAATGCTAAGGAGCATGTCATGAAGTTCGTAAAGGTAATGGGTGTTTAATGTTTATGGCTTAAATGATTATTTGAAGCTTTTTTTTTTTAACTCTTTGACCAAAAAGCATACACCTAGCATGTAAACCTAGCCTCCGGCTCTTTCTAGACAACTTGATAGTGATGGAAAATCTTTTAAAAACTATTTTCAAGATCAAAATCTACTTTCAGAAGGTACTTACAAAGCTTTAAAACTTTTATTACTTCTCTCTATGTGCATCGGAAGACTCCACTAAAACAAAAATGTGTTTTAGCGATGGATATTTAGCGACGATCAACAAACCGTCGCTAAATACATATATTAGCAATGATTTTTCACACTTTAGCGACGGTCTAAAAAATGGTTACAAATATTAAAATTTACGATGGTTTTTTAGCAACGGTCTACCAATCCGTTGCTAATGTTATAGGCTAACCATTTTAGCGACGGTTTTCATATTTAAAAATCATTGAAAATTTAGCAACGGTCTAAACCGTTGCTAAACCGTTGGTAAATGTTATTTCATATTTTTCCAATGGTTTTATTAAAAAAAATTCATAAATAAATAATAAATTTAGCAACGGTCTTAGACCGTCGCTATTCCATTACCAAAATGAAGATTAGCAACGGTTTGGTGTTGGTAAACCGTTGCCAAAATATTCTTTTTAGCAACGGTTGAGATCCGTCGCTAAAACGTCACCAAATCAACTCGAAAAAATATTTCGGTTTAGCAACGGTCCCGGATCGTCGCTAAACCGTTGGTAATTAATTTTTTTTTTAACGATTGCAAAAATAACCATTGCAACGTTACATTAGCAACGGGCCTAGACCGTCGCTAAAACGTCGCCAAATAAACCTGTAAAAATACTTCGATTTAGCGACGGTCTTGGACCGTCGCTAAACCGTTGGTAATTTAATTTTTTTTTATCTTAACGGTTGCAAAAATAACCGTTACAATGTTACATTAGGACCGTCGCTAAAAGTAAACCGTTGGTGGAAAATGATCAAATGTAATTTCGAATTTACGTTTAGCGAAGGTCCGTGATCGTTGTTAAAAAATTTACCTTTCTATAAATACCGATCGAATGGAATCTACCCATTTTGCTTTCTTCTCCTCTCTTCTTCTCCTCCGGCAACGACATCTCTACCTTTTTTTTTCACCAATCCTCCACTCTCTCTCGTCAAAGCTATTGTTTCCTTAAAATCTTTATATTTCTTCCCTCTTTTCCTCCTCCTTTCAAGTTTTCTCTCTCGTCGTTGAAGTCGTCGTTTTTCGACGACCATATTCCTGCGAGGAATTTTTACCGACGGTTGCTTCCCCTCCTTCTCTTGGTGACAAGTACACCTAAATCTAAACCATCCTTTTAATTATTAATTTTTTTAGTTATTTATTTATGTCAAATAATTAGATTTTATTTTAATTTTTTGTTTAATTACTTATTATTGCTAGTTTAATTATTGAATTGATTATTCATTGCATGTGTTTTTTTAATTTGATTATTTAATTAAAATTTATTTTGTGTGTTATTTTAGTGTAAATTATGATAGTTAATTGAAATGTTTAATTGTTAATTTAATATTAATTGTTAATTGTTATGTTATTATTGATTAATTGAATATTATTGTTAACTTTTTAATTTTGTGTTATTTTTATTTTAGTTGTTGATTGAATTAATTTGATTGTTAATTGTTAATTTACTTACTTTAATTTATTGTTAATTTTTTTAGTTAGAAAATATAATTGTTATATTTTATTTTATGTTGTTATTTAAATTGTTATTGTTATTTTTATTAGTGTAGCTACTAATTGTTAATTTACTTAAGTAATTCACAATTTATTGAAAACATTAGTAATTTAAGTAATGCCTAGTTCATTAAGTTAAAGCGTTAGGTTAGTACAAAATAAATAAATAAAATTTGTGAAATAAATTTTACATAGATAAAAAATAA